TCACAGGGTTTGGTCTTTCACGACTCTCGGCGACGACCTCAATCTTTTGTAGACTATACACAGTTAGCGATTTGCGATGGGAGACTTTAGACTGCAGCTGACATACTTTCCAATCTTCAGACCAGCCCGGTTGATGAATTCGTTTCGGAACAGTTGTTCCTCAAGCTCAGGTATCTCCGGGCCTACATCACCATACTCATCCTTCCATTCATACTTGGCTGCATTTGCCGCCCACTCGGGGAGCTGACCGTCACCAGCGTCGCCAGCGGGTTGCTCAGCAGGAGCTGGAGTTGCAGTATACTTGTCATAGTCATAGCTCTCTGGAGCCACCCACCCCTTCGCGCGGGCCAGGTTGGACGCGTCGTTCTCTTTGTTGTCGTGAGTGTTGGTCACATCGTCGAGCGCGGTGTTTAACGAAGACATATTAAACTCCGCCATGATTGCTCGTCCAGGGCTGGACTAGCACCCAACGACGTCCTACGTGACAAACTCTTGACACCAACCTAAGAGGTGACTCGTAGTTGGACGACGAACAAGCGTTTGTTTTGTAGAGCAAACGGTACCTTTTTCGACAGAGACGCGTGAGATAGTCAGAGTCGTTAGACTGTGATATGAACAGATGACGAGGAGAGACAGGCGCGGAGACGAACGAGAGGAAGGGTAGTGCACTGCTTACAGGGATGCATGAAAGATGGGAATGAAGAGGAAGGGGAAGGAGAAAACAAATGAGACGGAGAGGAGGGGAGAGGAGGGGAGAGGAGGGGAGCAGTGAAAGGATGAGAGAGAGAGAGATGAGGTGGTGTGGGCTGGCCTCAGCAACACCTCACCCCGAGTCGAGCAAACGGATTGCACAACAAGACACTTCAGCGGAGTGAGGCCAATGAGAACCGGTTCTCGAGCCTTTTAAAATGTAGTACCTACGGAAAATTCATATCGTAATGGGAGTGACCAGGGAAGATGACTACAGGGCACGCAGGATCAAATACTCATACTCGGAAAATTCGATGACCACAGTCGAGTTCCTCAAAACTAAGCGGAATTATCGTCTGGCCTCCCCTTGAGACAACTGACGAGGATCTATTTGTCTGAGGAGAGAATAATGTCATGCAGACAGCCGAGAGCCGAGTAAGGCATTTTACTATCAGTCAGTATATCTGACCAGTTATAGATGCTTGAGTGTTGCTGTCTGTCTCTCGTTTACCATGCCTGATGGCTTGAGGCCGGGTTGAGGCAATCTCATCCTCACTCCAAACTCCGTTCATCGTATACCCTTACGAAGTACTAGAAATTTCTCTATCTGCTTCATCTCATTCTACATACCAAACGCAAGCAAAGCCCCCTAAGCTTCCACATGTCTCTCCTACGCTCACATTTCCTCTGAATAGATCTGCAATAACACTAACGACTATTTGCCGATGTATGATTTGCACCACCACCCGACCTGGACACAGCTGTCATTCATGACCCCCGTCTACCATCACAAAGCCATAGCCAGCATGGCGATGTGGGCTCTTGCCTCAGGGGCCATCTCCATCCCAGATGGGTGCGGGTCCAATTTCCCGAGGCTCTGGCGCAGCGGCTGCACATATTGTGAAAGATGTGCAAATCTGTGAGTGAACTCATGGATGACAATATGTTGGAGGCAGACAGCAAGCATATAAAAAGGTGCAAGTTTGAACTGGCTCAGTTGCAGCTATGTCAGTTCTCGGGGTCAACATCCCCTGAATCATTTGCCTCATCTAAAGCAGCTATGTCAGTTCTCGCGTATCAACGCAATCATGGACATCCACCGGTGTCGTACCGGTGGGCCTGTCTTTCCCAAGTCAAGGTCTGACATTGGGTCAGGGACTAGATGAAGGACTCAAATTTGCAATGTGTCTGGTCCGCCAGTTCTATCAGAGCTCGTGGAGAGTTTCATGTCGACTCTGAGGATGATTATGCTGGATATATCGACTGCGAAATTACATTATTTCTTGCAGGTCTGGGGAAAATGCACTGCGATGCCAACTGCGCACGACCGAGAATCTGTGGAATCAGCTATCCGTTTGCCTCGTACGATCATGACCGGAAAAGACCCTCTGAGGATTTGTGAAAGACAAAGCATGAAGAATGAATTTGTCCCAAGAACCAGGGCATCGATATATGGGCACAGGAGCTATAAGTGACTGGCGTTGTGATGGAGGGGAATCCCCGGATGGACATGATGCGCCTGCCTGGAGCATACGGGCCAATGCTGCTGTCTACCGACGTGGACCTACAGGACTTCGTTTGACAACTTGTCTTTGGTTTCCTCCCGTATTACTGAGTAGCAGTCACTGGACCGGTAAATGTGAGGTATTTATGCAATCGTTCCTATGCTTGTGGGTCGAGTAGCTTTAGTATAACTCGTGCCTCGTTCCTAAGGCACCACGAAATGTCCCGACGTCACTTCAGGGGCAAATACCACTCGTCGACTTGCATGGGAAAAGCATATTTCGACCGATGCACTCACCCCGTTTTGACCAACAATGAAGCCATGAGGCCCTAAGGCTACGAGCAGATGATGTGAGGATAGATCCCCTTGCAGAACAGTGGCGCGGCACGGAACAATTGGAAAGAAAAGGTCGGAGACTCCGTCCGCGCGCCCAGCCCGCAACCCGTAAAGTGGAGTGGGTTTAGCAGTGGGTTCGAACGACCGACCTTCAAGCGGGCAGAAGGAATCTCAAATATACGCTGTACTCTGTATCACGGGCCAATAATCCCCATTTCCCCGAGACCGACTGAGCTTCCTCAGCGACCCTCAACTACTTTTCGGATTTTGGATTTAACTCACCCAAACCCCCCCCCCCCCCTCTCCCCCCTTCTTTGTCATCGCTCCGAATCTCCTCAATCTCATGATACTTGCTCCGTGCCATTGAGTCGTCATGGCTACATCTACTTCTAATCGGGCGAGCGCTCGGCTGGAACTGGCCAATCCGGGGACCGTCAAGATCAATGTGAAGGGTGCTTTCATTGTGGACGATGATCCGAGGTCCAAAAGTCCGGTGAGGACCGACGGGGTTTCTTATGAAGGTGAGCAACCCCCCCCCCCCCGGCGAGAAGCACGCCTTTTTCGTTTCGTGCCGGCACGTCCCACCAGTTAACCCACCGAAATTCACTTTTGCTTATAATTCTGGCTCAGGTCATGACATTCGACTGCCGAATCACAAGGAAATTAGTCATGTAGCTGTTGACGTGAGTTAATTTTCTCCCTGACCTGACACTTTCCATCCGGACACTCCGCGGTTCCCCGCACACAATCGCAGCAAGCTCCCCGCAATCCTCAACGTTCATCGCACTAGCACCTCCAGCCTCTCCACCACCACTTTGATCACAAAACTAACTCGAGCCATATGGTTTTTTTTTCTTAGATCGGCGGCTCGTTGGCAAAGCTCGTTTACTTCACTCGGGAGATCGACTCTGCCGACAATGGCGGGCGACTCAACTTCATCAACTTCGAAACCTCTCGCATCGACCTCTGCATCGACTTCATCAAAGAATTGAAGGCTGAACACGAGAAGCTGAAGGGCTCGTCGGGGGCGGAGCTATGTGTCATGGCGACGGGAGGCGGGGCTTACCTGTACTATGACAAGCTCAAGGAGTCCCTCAACGTCGACATCATTCGGGAGGATGAGATGGAATGTCTCATCACTGGTACGCAAGTCTATATTACCCTTTCGTTAGTTAACATGTTGGGACGAGAACGCATCTCTGACTCGCACCTGTTCACCAACAGGCCTGGACTTTTTTATCACGGAGATCCCCAACGAGGTGTTCACCTACAGCGAAACCGAACCCATGCAATTTGCCGAGGCCCGACCGGATGTTTACCCGTACCTCTTAGTCAACATCGGCTCCGGCGTGTCCATGATCAAAGTGTCCGGCCCCAAGCAGTTCCAACGTGTAGGGGGTACACATTTGGGGGGTGGAACCTTCTGGGGTCTCATGTCGCTGCTGACGGGGGCCCGCACTTTCGACGATATGCTCGCCATGGCGGATCGGGGTGACAACAGCGGGGTGGACATGCTGGTGGGGGATATTTACGGCATGGACTACAGCAAGATCGGACTCAAGAACACGGCCATTGCAAGCACCTTCGGCAAGGTGTTCCGCCTCAAGAATCAAGCCGGGCAGCAGGCAGCAGACGGGGCAGAGTCGTCGCCCGAGGAGGGGGAGCTTGATTCAATGAATGGCGATCCGAAGTTCAAGCCCGAGGATATGAGCAGGAGTCTACTCTATGCCATCAGGTGCGTCGTGATCCTCAACACTCAGTTTGCAGCAAAAGGAAACCAGTCTAACAGCTCACAGTAACAACATCGGCCAGATCGCCTACCTGCAGTCCGAGAAGCATCAGGTCAAGCACATCTACTTCGGCGGCTCCTTCATCCGCGGACACCGCCAGACCATGAACACGCTCTCGTACGCCATCAAGTTCTGGTCCAAGGGCGAGAAGCAAGCGTACTTCCTGCGTCACGAGGGCTACATCGGCTCCGTGGGCGCGTTCCTGCGGAGACAGCCTGCCAATTGGGGACGCAGGAACAGCATCGACGAGGCGTCCCTGCAGGAGCTCAAGGCGGCCTTGGAAGCCAAGCACCAAGCTACTAGTCAACCGAACGCATCCTGAATAGGATGACCCTTCCGGACAAACAGCATGCATGCTGGACAAAGATGTGTCCGGCCCCTCCCCTCCTCACCTCCTCCTCCTCATTTTGAGCGTTTTGATACCCGTCGATTGTCATGACACACATTGTAATACTGCATTTTATACTGTTTCTTATATCATAATGCTCCGTATAATCTCCGACCACCTGGAAATGTTCGATGACATCCTCCAAATCATGGAACAAGGCATTAGACTCAGATTGTGCTTGCTGAGTGCATGTGGTTAGACTGTTATGCACTTACTTTTTGGATTCTTCTTGCCAGGCATCCACTGCATGTCAAGAGTTATTATTCCTTTTCGGGCGGTTTCTCCTCTCGGTCATGTCTCTCGGAGTCGGCCAGTTGTCCTGTACCACTACATAGATACAAGCGTACATTGGAAACCGGGTAGATCCCGGATTGACCCGTCTACTTTTCAAGCGTCCGTACCGGTGATACTAAGATATATTCAAGAAAGCGCCGGCAATGAGCACCCAGCAAGAGCCGCGCTATTTCTGCCCCCCAACCGCGGCATCAAGGTACAATGACCGGTCTGACTTTGATCTCCACAGCTGGAACATTTTCCTTCCCTTTCAAGCTATCCAAGGCCACCCAGATCATATAATCAAACTCATCATGACCACCCCGCGGAAGCCACACCTCGCCGTGCGCCTCCGTCTCGCAACACAGATATTTGAGCTCCGTGAGCTTGTAGTGTAGGCGAAAGAAGTCGAGGGCCTGCGCGAAGAGATCATCCACCGTGTTGCATGTGGCCACAAAGACGAACCGTTTGGGCTTGTCCTCCGAGCACAGCACAAACACCAGGCCGCCGGTCACCTTGCGCAAGGACAGCGGGTCCGCATGGTTCGTCTTGCGCCGTTTCGGGACCGGCGGCGACGACGACGATGGCGACGTTGGGGCAAGCTGTTGCTGTCTTTTTGGGTTTCTTCTGGTCTGCTGGATAGGCTCACTCACTGAGGATGACTCCTCGTCCGTGTCGTCGACCACCTCGGACAGAGGGGAGGAATCTCTGTCTGAGGATATACTGGCCATACGAGTTGTGCTCGCGACCACTTTCTGCTGCTGTTGCTGCTGCTGCGCAGACTTCGATCTCGCCGACCTGGCAGGCACGCCCCTTTCACTAGCTCTCCTCTCTTGCGGCCGTGGGCGAACATCAGCTGTGGCCATTCCTCCTCCTCCTCCTCCTCCTCCCCCCTGCTGCTGCTGCTCCCTCTCCCTCCGGCCGTCGATGAACTCCCACGCGGCCGGGTCATAGACGATCTCCTGCCCAGGCTTCATCCGCCAGACGCGCACCGCGCACGACGGCGGCGGGGGATCTTGCTCGGCGGGCGTCCATTGTCTCAGAAACGTACCGAATGGGCTCGAGTGGGGCAGGCTGCAGACCACGATCTTCCCTCCTGGTGGTGCGGATGCGGATGCGGACGCGGAAGATGCCTCGGAACCTGAACCCGTCCGCGGGGGGCCTGCCCCCGCCGCCGCCGCCGCCGCCGTCGCCTCATACGCCACCAGCACGTTGGTCCGCGGACTCTTCAGGGGATACTGGCAGAGCCGCAGCTCTTGGCCGGTGCGGTCGAAGACCTTGTACTCCCGGATCACCCCTTCGCCCCGGTAGGAGAACGGCGGGCGCTTCTTCCGCCGCTGGCCCCGGATGGCTTCGTGCCATTTGGCGATCTCCGCTTGCAGGTACCGGGGGAACGGGATCGGGGGGCCCTTGATGGGCTGGGAGCTGATGGAGAATGGGTTGGGGATGTCGGTGTCGGTGTCGGTGTCGGTGTCGGTGTTGTTGTTGTTGTTGTTGTTGTTGTTGTTGTTGTTGTTGTAAGCCGCTGCCGTCACGGGGCTATGGCTATGACGAGTGACGGTGACAGTGGGAGTAGATGTAGTAGCAGCGTGGAACGGGATGTCGGGCCCGGAGTCGTAGGATGACGGCGGCGTGGACGAGGCGGACCGGCGGCTGTGCTGCTCGTTGAGGGTAGCCGGTCCTTTCGCATCGGACTCCTCGACCTCGTAGGAGTTGGATCGGGAGTTGAGGATGTTGGGGTAGAGAACGGTCGACCTCCTGGAGATTGGGGAGCACATGAAACTCGGTTAGCTCGACGTTGATTTCCCTTTCCAAAGCTCCAAAAAAGAAAAGTAACCTCCTCATAAAAAGGAGAATGCAATCGAAAAATGAGGTGGAACTGCCGCTGACCACTGGGAGTTCGACATATTTGTTTGTTCACCGCTGATAGTTAGAGTACTCGCGTAACAGGAATCGAATCACAAAGCTGGCTGGCTTCGATGCCTCGGTGGGTGGGATTGATTTTCTTATTTTCACAGGCACAGAAAATTGTGAGAGAGTAGGAGAAAGTGCCTTGGTGTGGATTGAATGGGCATTGACTGGTCAAACAAAGAGTGCGCGATCACGCGTTGGGTGACATGTAACTACATGTACTGTAGCGCGTTTTGCGTTTACTTTTCATTGGATTCTTATCTTAATGGGCAACCCCCGCGGAGGAACCACCTGCAGATAAGGTACTGGAATTGGATATGTTGGGAGATACCAAGGTAGATTTAGCATGTGACTAGATATTTATAAGGTGGTCGAAGGCAGTGAATGAGTATTTTGACATTGGCATAATCGGTCCCTCTTCTATACTCCTGATGTAGATCACAGTGTAGCGAGTGATTGACAGGAAGAGGTGCGCTAGGCTCCCACACTATACCCCAAGAGCAATGCCTTTGACACTCGTAGCATAGATCAACAAAGTGCACTCGACAAGCACCTAGGCTTGTATAGCACATCCAAAGTTCGCGAACCAGGCTTTGATTTATCGGTGGCGCGTTTATTATAACTGGTGAGCAGGACACGGAGCCAGGAGAAAAAGATGTATATTGTACAGTAAACTCGCTGTTTACAGACATGGACTCAGACCTGATCAGTACAGTGACAACTATGCAGGGACAAGGCACTCATATGGCCGTGTATAAGCCTTTGGTAAGACTGCCATTACTCACCAGTACTGAGTGATCCTTATCCTTCATGAACCGCATTTGGATAGCTGGATACTGCCTTAGCTGTACAGTACATAGTCAAGCATGGTGAATGGGTGACTAATCCCACGTGGGCGGCGTGCCGGATCTGGCGATTCGCGTCACCGACGGGGGGAGATTCCAGCTCAGGTGATTCTAACCCCAACTCTTCCTCATCTCGATCGTATCACACCATGCTCCAAGCATGAGTCCGGGTCCTGCTCGATGCCTTCGCTGTCCGATTCGCCTCCTCCCGTTCCGCCCCCGGTGCCCGTCGAAACCCATCCGAACCGCAGCGTCGGCCTGAAAGAGCAACGAGCCCTCCCGGATCCCACCCGCCTCGCCCCTGAAGATGCATACTACACCTCTTCGCTGCCGCGCGCGCGGCCTACCTCGGCCCACTTTGACAGTTCCATGCGCGTGTTGAACCCCAACGCTGTGGCGGTGTTGCGATCGCCGCCGGCCGTGCCAGGAGCCGGTGGTGGTGGGCGAAAGGAGGTACAAAAGCTGCGGGGGACCAGCCGCCGGAGGAGACGAAAGGGCGCCTGGAAAAAGCTACTCTGGGTGAAACAGTCCTGTAAGATTGAATCGCGAGATGACCTATGAGGTCTTTCGGGACTTGGTGTAAGGCACTAATCGAGACATTCAGATCCCGACAACTACACGGATACAGAGACCTTCCTGGACCATCTGCAGCGCAATCCTCGCGTACGCCCATACGATTTCTGGCCTCTCGTGGCCGACTCCACCGTTATCGTACAACATGTATGCTCGGTCGCGATCTTCGTATGCTGTTTCGTTGGCATTGTGCAGGGCCGCGTGAGCCCTGTCTCGGTGGTGTGCTGGGGCAGTGTCGGGACCGCCTTGGGTTGGATCTTCTGGGATTCTTGGATTCTGCGGGAACATGTGGAGAGTGTGCAGGTCGCTGAGCGAGCATCATCAGAAGGGGATGACGGATCGAGTTCGAGTTCCATGACTAGCTCCGTCAACCCGTCGTCCGGTACCGCTAGTTCGCGTCCCTGCGGCCAGAAGGAGAACCAGGTCCATGGGCTGGGATTGTCCCTGGCACAGAATGAATCCAGTGAGCCCGCCCACCGACAGAGCATGGGAAGCGGTGGGGATGTCGATGGCAGCGGGCAGGAACCAGTGTCTCCCCTGTCTGGCCCGGTGAGTGGTCCGCTGGGTGGCCTGTCGTCCGAGGCGGACATGTCGCCGATGTTCTCCTCGAGGAACCGCCAACGGCTTTCTACCGTCAAGTCGGCTTTCCTGATCTACTTCTCGTTGCTCGCGCTGAGTCCCATCTTAAAGTCGCTTACCAAATCGACCGCCAGCGATTCGATCTGGGCCATGAGCTGCTGGCTGCTGATCATGAACATCTTCTCCTTTGACTACGGAAGCGGGGAGGGCGCAGGCGCCACCAAATTCCCGGCTTCCCTGTCTACCAATGCCGCAGTGATGGCTTCCACCGTATTAGCGTCTCGACTGCCATCCACCACCCACGTGTTTAGCCTGATGCTCTTCTCAATGGAGGTCTTTGGGTTGTTTCCCATTTTCCGACGGCAGCTGCGTCATGTGTCCTGGACTGGCCATGTTCTGCTGACGCTGGCGTTGGTGCTCGTCGCTGGCGGTGCCGTGGGCATCACCCTGCGTGGCGGATGGGCGGCGTTTGTGGTCGGATCCATTTTAGGGAGCATCCTGACGGCGCTGACTATGGGAGGATGTAGCTGGTGGCTGATCAGTCTCCAGAAGTATAAGAATGTGGTGACTGGGCCGTGGGATCCAGCCCGACCGATTATCCGGCGACACTGGGATTAAGGACTTGCAGCGCAGCCCAGTAGCCCGTCGTGTGGACGATCTCAGCTTGAGAAATACTTTTACAAGATACCCATACAGTATTAAGACTTTGAATCTAGCGCTTTTCATATGAACATGGATTTGAACCGTGAAATTAACATCTTGGCTTCCCCCCGTGTAAGATCTGACCTGAGTCTGCTGTACATCGCCAAGGAAAGACAATAAAACTGGCTTCAATAGCCTCCTGTATCCCTAACTTGTGTAATTGTTTCAGAAGTGAACAAAGTGCAGTGCCGGGAGGCGGTTGAGGCATGCTTGTTTTGCGGAATGTCGGCGGGAATGCTGGCCAACTGGAGCTGCCAGCAATCAACACCGCAGCAATTCCGGCCGTGACGCAAAGAAGAATCCCATATCCCATCCAAGGTGCAGGCATGGAGCAACCTCCATACCGTATCTACCATGGCACACTTTAATCATCTCATTCAACCCGTCATTGGGGGTCTGCTGTGGACTCGGGAAATTCTTCAAATGCATGCCCATGACTGGGCGATAACCCCAGGTCTAGGCAGGAGGCAGCAAAATGCCCGAGTCGGAATGGAGGCCTGTCTCCGTGTGTTTATTTCTGGATCCTCGCCAGGCTGTCAGTTAATTACTCCTGCTGGCCCACTTGGCGACGCAACAAAGCAGGTGACGGTCACTTTGCGCGCGCTGTTCACCTGATTCAGTCCAGGGCGCACACCCACCACCGACCACCCACCACCCACCACCTATCGACCACCACCGCCCATACAACCCGACGAGACAGGACACGAACGAACTCACGATCATGCTCAAACGACTCGCACTGGCCCTGATGGGCCTTCAGTGCGCGACAGCCTTGCGGATGGCAATGTATATTGACCAGTGAGTCCGCCCGCCTGCTATCTTTGCCTCATCACGTACTGAAAATCGAGTAGATACCACACGGCCAACCTGCCAGGCAAGGACAAGACCCAGGGTGTCACGCACGCGATCATGGCGTTTGCGCCCTCGACCCTGTTCAACTCCGACTCGCCCCCACAGTTCACCCCGTTTGAGTCCGTGTCGACGATGCGCAACCGCTTCGGCCCTGACACCAAGGTCATGATTGCCATCGGCGGATGGGGTGACACGTCTGGATTCTCGCAGGGATCCAAGGACGAGGCTTCTCGCAGCCGCTATGCGAAGAACGTTGCCACCATGATCAACAACTTGGGCCTGGACGGCGTTGGTAAATCGTCCCTCTTCCCTCTTCCCTCTGTCCTCTTCCAATCTTCTACAATACACAGCCCTAACCCGTGATGAAACCCCATCTACAGACATCGACTGGGAATACCCCGGCGGCAACGGCCAGGACTACCGCCAAACGCCCAACTCGGCCAAAGTGCCGGAGATCGACAACTACCCGCTCTTCCTGAAGGCGATCCGCGACGCGATCGGGCCCAACAAGCTGCTGTCGATCGCCGTGCCGGGCAAGCTGGAGGACTTCATTGCGTTCACGCCGGCCAACGGGCCCAAGATCTGGCCGTCGGTCGACATGGTCAACATCATGAGCTACGACCTGATGAACCGCCGCAACAACGTGACCATGCACCACACCTCGGTGGTGGACTCGCACACCACGCTGAAGGCGTACGCGGCCATCGGCCTCGAGAGCAGCAAGATGAACCTGGGCTTCGCCTTTTACGCCAAGTGGTTCACCACGGACCCCACCGCGGACTGCAAGACCAACCCCATCGGCTGCAAGGCGGCCGTCATGGAGAACGCCGACGGCTCGGACAACGGCAAGTCCGGCGCCCTGACCTTCGAGAAGAGCACCATGAGCGCCGCCCCGGGTAATCTGAAGACGTCCACCGATGGCACGTGTGGCTTCGACAAGGGCACCAAGTGTCCTTCTGGACAGTGCTGCAGCCAGTACGGGAATTGGTACGTGCCCCCTTGTGAATTCATCAGATGCATCATGATCTATCTCCCTCTGGATGTGAACTGACAGACAGCAAAGCGGTACAACCGACGACTTCTGCCAGGCGGGCTGTCTCTCCGACTACGGCACCTGCAAGGGCATCTCGATCACGGACTCGTGGCGCCGCGCCCTGAGCGAGGGCACCACCGACGCCACCATGGGCGGCCAGTACTACTTCGACGACAGTGTCAACATCTTCTGGAGCTGGGACACGGGCGACCTGATCGGCCGCAAGTTCACGGACATCGTCGACGCCGAGCAGGTCGGCGGCATCATGGCCTGGAGTCTGGGCGAGGATACCCTGTCGTGGGAGCATCTGTCTGCCATGCAGAAGGGGGCGAGCACGCGGTAGCTGTAACCATCCTTTACCCCAGTTGTTCGTCTACATGTATGTCTATGTGTATGTTGTATAAGAAGTACCCAGTTGCACGTCGCAGAATTTATCTAGTTCATGTGCAGCGAGGACACGCAATGATAAAGAATGAGAGAGATCATTTACCCAACCCCAAGAAAACTTGCAAACAATATTCCAGCTTGTTATACAGTACACTACCCAATCTATCCCCTCCCCCCCCCACAAAAGCGAGATCAACTCGCCCCAACCCACACCCCATCCCCACCCACATATCCAGACCCAATCTCTCTAAGTGCAGCTATCCGACCCATAAACAAACGTGCCATCCGAGTCCTCACACCCGCAAGTCCCATCAGTCGGGCTCTTGATGCACCCCGTTCCGACCCCCGAGGACTCGCCATTATCGCTGCAATATCGCCGCCTATGTCAGCCCGCATCCTCACCCAAGACAATCCCCAACAACCCCCCAGGCTCAATATCAGGGTTCTAGGGAATACAGAACAGAAAAAAAGGGAAGGGACAACCAACTTCCAGAAGAACGTCCAGCAATCCGAGTCGGAGTCGGTCATCTCGGCGTCCGTGGGCGCCGTGCACGTGTACGCGCTGCAGGTGCCGTAGGGGGCGCCGTGCGAGGAGTCGTACTCGTGGTCCGTCACGAAGACGGCGAAGGTTTGGGTGCCTTTTTTCGGGGTGTCAGTTTGCTTTTTCTATAAGGCAGGGGGGACAGGACGTACCTGAGGTGCGGGTGTTGTGCGAGCACTCGGCGGCTTGGATGGCGGTGGAGACTTTGCTGGCTGTTGTTTTTGTGGCGCGTTCTTGTGTTAGCATGCTGGGTAAGTTCGTGGGGATGGGTGGGTTGAGCTTGAGGGCCGGGGGGTGGGTGGGTTTAGGTTTAGGCGAGACAGGAGGTAGGCTTTACCAGAGCAGTTGTAAGTGCCGGGACATTTGCCCTTGGTGTTGGTGGAGGCCGGGTCGAGGGTCGCGGCGGCCAGGGAGGCGGCGCTGAGGACGACGTAGAGGAGGGAGTTGGTGGAGACCATTTTTGGCAATTTGATACTGACAGATGGCAGGTTGCTGGTGCTGGTGCTGGTGCTGGTGCTGTTGAGAAGAAAAGAAAAGTTGGGCGAGAGGTGTAGACCTTTATATAGATGCCAGCTTCTGCGCAGAAACTACCACTCCAGTACAATTCGATCGGTCACCTACCTCTCTATCTGACACTGCCCGGCCCCGGGATGTACGTGTCCTGAGTCGAAGCGAAACCGAAACCCAGGGGTGCATGTGGATCAGTCTCCATGGTCGGGATTCTGGATTCTAGAATTGTGGGCTCATCTGAAAGACGGGGTCGTGTGTGTCAGAAGGAGACGGAAGACGGAAGATGGAAGATGCAGACGGCAGGAATCATCAGGCGGACCAGTCTAGAAGCTCTTTGGACTGGGGCAGATTTTGGGTAATTTAAGCTTGTTACAACGCCGTCGTTTGGGATTACCCACTTCGTCTCCACTCGGCGGGATCGGCGCGGGATCAGGAGATGATGATTGAGTGAGGGAATAATAAGGTATAGTTCGCTGGAATATAGGTTGGTTTCACCGTGGATAGACTGCAGCCTACCTAGTACAGATCTCCTGCCCTGCTGGCTGTGGCTTGACCAACTGTTGTGGATGGGAGACATGTTGCCTCCGTTTGCATACAACCCACAGCTCATGTTTGTTGACATATTGATATTATATACTTCATAACTTTCAAAAAAGTGACAAAGAAGGAAGGTAAAATCAAAGAGACAGACCGAAACCTGCACAGACAGTTTGGATCAAGAAGGGTATAGACACAACACAACATCATGCAACGTCGAGGACATTCTGCTCACACCTCGCTCACGTAGTCCGGTTCATTCACACCACTCGCTCATTTCCTACTCGTAGCCTCCAACTCCGACGGCCCTCTCGCCATCGCTTCATAATAAACCTGCCCAGGCTGGTGCCCGTGTGCCTGCTCCTGGTACACCTGCTGTTGTTGCTGCGCATCCCAACTCCAATGGCCCCCCTGACTCTGGGGCGGCGGTGACCCCGACAGATCCGGACTGGTCGCATACACCGCCGTTCCGGGAGACTGCGCGTTGCCGTAGTCCCCGTACGGCTGTTGCATCTGCTGTTGCTGCTGGAGAGGCTGTCCGGGAGCCGTCTGCATCATGCCAACCCCTAGCCCGGCGACGCCCGCGTCGTAGTCACTCTTTCCCCGTCCATGTCCCTGGCTCTGCGCCTGGTCCCCGCCACCATGACCAGGGCTCAACATCGCCGCCCACTTCGCCGTCCGCTCCGTGCGACCGTCCTGTGAGGACATCCACTTCTGATACACCCTGTTCCGTCCCAGAAGGAAGAATAATGCGCCCAAGATGCCGACGAAGGCGACGGAGCCCACGACGATACCTGCTATGGCGCCGCCGCTGAGGCCGCCGGATCCGGACGACGAGGAGGCAGATGGACTGGAGCTGACGGTGCTGTTGGAGGTGGGGATGGAGCCTTCGGCCGGCATGGACTGGCCGGGGACGAGCATGTAAGGGTAGGTTTTTGCTTTCTCGTATTGCGCTTCCCAGGTCATCGTTTCGTTCTGAGAGAGGTGGGGTGGAGTCAGTTTGACGTGGTCAGATAGACAAGAGGGCTGAAAAAGAGACGTACAGGATTGATGACGCCTACCATGCCATTGACAAGGCAGGAATCTATGGCTGTGCAGTAGAAGAAGGTTGGCTGTGCCTTGAATCAGTTTGCTGTCGCATATAGGTCGCTTGTGTCTTGCTAGAGGGCGGCAAGAACATACCTCGGTGTCGTTCACAACGAGGGACCATGTAGGTGGCTAACACAAAATGATTGTCAGGTCACAACTTTCGACAAGAGTACATCAGAGGCAGTACCGGTCCGACCAAATCGCCATCATCTTCATTGAAACTGTTGAAGATTCCCGAGTAGAAGACGGACTTGCTAGCAGGCACGCACGGCGCTAGGTAGTCGGCTTTCACGACTGAATGGTTCCGAGGATAGAATTCGAACACAATCACGTCGCCAACTTTGGCGGTGATGTTATGCGGAGAATACCCATGAGGAGAGGTCTTGGAGCCAACTTCGACCGTGTGTGTCGCCACGCCCGTTGTTGCTGACGAGGTGGAGGAGCGGCTTGCCGTCGACGTCGTCGCCGTAGTCGTCGCCGCCGAAGTTATCGACGATGTGTCCCCGTAATAGGACATCTTGATGGTGCTTGCAGTTAACGACGAGAACAAGAAGGAAAGTCAAGATGTAGTAGCAGCATGAGTTGTGAACGTCGTGGCGAGGGGTCAGCAGACAAAGGGGGCTGAAGAGACAGAACAATTTCCCTCTTATTCCGTGAGACAAGGCTGAGCAGGTCGTCAAATCTGGCTGTGTAGGTCGCACAAAGCCTTCGGCTGGCGAGGCCGCGAGTTTTAACACTCGAGATTGAATAAAGAAACAGGGATTCGTATCTGAATCTGAAGCACTCAGAGACAAAGGAATGATGACATCGTCTCCGACCGAGAGGATAATGGTACAGACTCAAAAGACGACCGAGAGTTGAGATGGGGAAATCGAGATGAGGGGCTTCTCCTCCCTGCATTCGGAAAGATTTCTCACATCGGGCTCTGTCTTCATTTCCCATGTTCTTCGTCTTTTGGCTTTTGGCTGCTTGTTGGCAGTACAGTACCTCGTGTTCGTAATCATCTGCCGGCGTTGCCATTGGTTAGGGCTTTGGCACGGACAGCCATCCCAACCAGCAGGCAATCAATAGCTTTCTTGGCTCCGGCCGGACCACAGGTGCAATTAAACATAACGTTAACTTAAAGCACTGGGTTCTCGACTTATTCAGATCGATCTTTAAATCTTTTCTCGGAACCCATCATTTCATGTAGCTATGCCCTTAGATGCAGACCTGAATCGCTGTATAGCTCGTTAGCGGTGGAGTCTCCGGATCAGCCACCTGCAGAGTCAGATGCAGGGTCTGGCTACCATCCTTATCACTTACAACCGCCCTCCCTTCGCGGTCGAAGACGAGAGAGAGAGACCAAAGAGACACAACTTTGTTTCCCGGACTCCGTGTTGAAGCCCCACTGGACCACATTCTCTTCTATCGTTCAATGGTTCGTCGACGGCTCGATCCATTGAGACCATCTGAAGGAGAGGGAGTCGCCGTCTGGAACGAACGTCTCTTAAGCATCGAAGATCAACCTTGAGTCCACAGCAGCATTCGATGAACTGGGTCCCAGACCATCGGTACTGTCAATAACGATTATCTGTTCGTATTCCAGCTTTGGCTCGTCTGACGCAGAGTGTCCATTGTTCCCGGCGGCAAAATCGTCCTGATATGCTTCGCTCAATCATCAGATCATTGCTCCACACGACTGTCTAGTCTGCTCTTCGATCATGCCCCGAGTACTGTCTTCTGCTTCATTATGATAGCCAGGCCATTGTTAGTGAGACCCAAACAAGCAATGCGTGGCGTTCACAACGAGTTCCATACTCCTGATACTTGATGTCGACTATCCCAATCTGAATGAGAGGTTGGAAAATGGGAGGACTGCCGTTGATAATGGCTTCATAACCAAGATACTCCGCATGTAGCATGCCCACACGATCGTCAACAATCGGTCACCCAGGTGAAACCAGGGCCGTATCCGATCAGCCCCAGTGGAGGATCACTTTCAGTGTTGGAGAGCCAGATTGCTAGGCCATATCGATGGATTCTGTGGAGAACGCGAAGCATGCGACATCAGGCTAGGGGCGATGGATTGACGCGTCTCTGTCGTCCTGATCAGAGTGAAGAGACTCGAATGCGCGGACGGATGATCCTGTATCGGAGGGTATGTGGTTAAGGCTGATATCGGGGGAACGAGAAGTTTCACAAGTGAAAAGATCACAACCTGGGGACGTGAGCACGTTTGTGTTCTAGATGATAAGGTGTAAGAGAGGGCAACACTAGTCAGTCGCGGAAGGTTTACTCTCTAACGGCCCCTATGCGCTCAATCGGCTGTGGTGGTGCTCCAAGCGGTAGTCACCATTCATTCGTCAGGTGACCCTCCTTGCAGAAATGACTTCCATGCGTCGGTGCAGGTACTTGGTCCTAGAATGGCTGGTGATATGATTTTGATGTGACTTTTATATTTCGACTTCCATCGGAATTGTACTATCAAAAACACCGCCGCCATCCGATCACGACTCAAGTCCTTGAAACAGACACACTACAATATCAGCACAATCGACTAAGACTACAAATCCACCCCCCGATATTCTCGTCCGCTTTCGTTGCTTCGACCCGAAAATCCCGGATCCCTTGTGATTGACTTACGAGACACGCCACGCTCCGGCTTTGAACCTGTTGGGATGTCCGACGACAAGACAGCCTTAGCAATCCGGCTCTGGTGGCTCTCCATGCGATCTTTGTGCGGAAAGGTAGACCTGACGGTGCCTCCATCCTTCCCAACTGGTCGCTTAGAAAGTCCCATTGGCTGTGTCTTTTACAGAAGTGGGATCTTGCACAGGCTTGAGACATCGCAGACCATGTCTTCCGGCTGATGCTGACGATATCGATTCCGGACCTAGAGGCCATGCCCTTCTCGTCTTTCGATGTCCTGCAGGTGCAGTGGTATTGAGCCAGAATTGCTGCTCCGATGCTGCAGATGTCGAACTCGAAGAAGTCGACACTTTCAGTTGGGACGAAGATAAGTAGAAGGAGGATAATAAACGGCGGATGCAAGATGCGGGCAATAAAATATTGTGTATTGGAGGCAGTGGCACGCAGCGTCGCATTGATGGGCTGCAGGCTGTATGTTGTAGCCCGTCACAAGTTGATCCACTCTGTTAATGCACAGGTTTATTTGTATTTTATCAGTGGACAACCATCATACTTATTATGACAATCACATTGATTCCGCATTCATCTGTCTCATGATTCACTGCGAATACTTGCTATTAATCTCGGATGGAATGTCGGGCAGGTGGTCAACTTCTCTTCTTATCCTCAACCGGTTGGTCGACGTCCGAAGCTGCTGGAGATCAGAGTGTAGAAAAAGAGTCTTTCTTTACACGGAAAGAATTGAGGAGGCTCGGAAACGTGAACGATCATGGCGCTCATCTGCAAGGGGGGGAGTATGAGAGGTCACTTGGGAGTCTTTTTACTCTGTAGATGAAGGAAGTATGTACATTTGCGGCATTTGCGGGGTAAGATAATCCCGCGTGTTGAGGTACAAGCAGCGAATACCAAGCTAAAACGGGCATAAAGAATCGAGATGAAACACTCTATACCGACCCGCTTGAAGATCATTTATTGTTGATGTCTGCTAAAATTCAGACTATTCTGGACACTCCTGCTAATCACTGCATGATTTATCTCGCACCGCGGCAAACCAGATATTGTTCTGCTCAACTCCCCGCCTTTCTCCCCCACAGATCCCTCCTTTTGCTAAGACCATACATGTCACATTCCGGTCAAGGCAAACATCATGGACCGATTCTCCTTTCCGGTGCGACTCTTTCCTATTTGCTGTTGTTGCCCCTTCTACCTTTCTGACTCTTGTAGAACGCGGTTGCTATGGCTGACGCTGACGTCGCTGCAGATGTTGTGAATGACAGCTGTTCACCTCGTGCATTCCTGCATCAGACCCCACAAACTCGTGACTGCATCAGGTGACCTCCGCCACTGCCGATTAGAGGGGGCGATCCCCCGCGGCGGACAACTTGAGTCTACAAGCCTACAACAAGGCCTCTGTACAACCATGTCCTGTAACTACAAGGACGTTGTGATCTATGAGCGGAGACAATGTGGAGGAACACCTGACTTGTTGTCAGGACTGATGCTGAAGCAACGATAACAAGACCCCTGGCAGCCATTGCGTGCTACAGGACTTTTGTTTCACCATCTCCATGAGACAGGGCCATATAAAAGGATGGAGAAATGGATAGAAGGGTTGCCTTATTTTTGGAGGTCGAGTTTGGCTTTGCGCCTCTCCGCCTGGTCTCGAGCCCGGATCTGCAGACAGGTCATGAGTGCAAATCGTCATCGTTGCTGAAACAGCAAAGCAGAGCCCGTTCTCCCCCTCCATCCTCGTCCAGAGCGCATGATGAATGGGATAGGATTGAGCATCTGATCTCTGGAGCCTACCGAATGGTGGGGCTCAGCACAAACCAAAGTCAAGAAAGTCCGTCGGGCGCATGGAAACTGAATGTAGTCGAAGCTACCGAGACGGGAAGCCAATCACCGGTTGCGGTTGTGCACGGATGGATCACTGGGTGGCCGTCTTTCACTCCCGCGGCCCAGAATTATGGAGGAAATTCCCTTCAATCTTCCCTCCTTATCAGCCAAATCTTTATCTTAATTGTCTGACTAGACTACCTTCACCGACTCCTCAAATATAATCTTCTTGTAAATATCTTCTGTTTGAACTCGCTTCCCTCCACCCTCCTGGGTTTAGCCTTTGGTTTGGACCCCTTGGCCAAAGTCACATTTTCTTATAAGATGTCACCATCCTCCCACTGCTAGTCATGTCTGTTGACGAGCCTGCACCGTGGCCGGTTCTGCTTGTTCATCGCAGGCTGTGATCATTTTTCTCATCTGCTTGCCTCTCGAACACTCGTCCCCGTCCCCTCACCAATTCAATTGCTGGTCTTCACTACTGGACTGAATAGAATGCTGAGGCGCCGCTATTGCTTTCTGAGCTGAGCATTTGTCTGGTGACGTCGGTCAGTCCATAATCGCGTACGGAATAGGAAATTGATAGCTGATAAAATGCTTTATCAACACAGATTACCCCTCAATCTATAGACACCACGAAGATTGTTTTGTCCCACTTGGTCTCTTTGCGACATCATAATGGCCTCTCAAGAGTCACCGTTGGCTTCGGCGTCGGAGCAGCCCAACACAAAAAAAAGCCGATTCGCCGGTTGGTTTGGAAAAAGGATGCCGAAGATATCAGCACCAGAAGCGGAAAACAATGACTCTTATCGTCCCAAAGCCACGCTCGGGATTTTAAGTGACAAAGAGACCGATGAGGTACCTGGTGAGTGGCTAAATCAGGCAGGAGATTCCGGTTGGCAGTGGTAGAACGTGCCGGCTCACAATGTGAACGCAGGAACGGTCCTTCTGCTCTCTTCTAATCGCAACGAGCCGTTGGGGTTGAGGCACCAACCACATCGTGAATCCAGCTCCTCCATACCCTCACCTTATCCACCGTCGCGGGCTTCATCCCGCTCCGTCCCACCGCAGAAGAAGACCGCCAACGGTCAGATTATCCTGAACCCACAGCCCGATGATTCAGCAAACGATCCACTGAACTGGCCTGTATGGCGCCGAGATGCGGCTTTGGTATCCTTAGGCTTTTATTGCCTGATGGGCGGGGGCATGACCCCGATCCTGGCTGCCGGTTTTGAGCAAGTCGCCTCGGATTATGGCGTAACCACTCAAAGGGTAGCTTATACCACGGGGTTATACATGCTTGGCCTTGGGGTCGGGTCTGTAGTAATGTCCCCAACAGCTATTCTGTTTGGGAAACGCCCAGTGTATCTCCTGGGCGCAACGCTCTTCATCCTTTCTGCCGTCTGGTGTGCGCTGTCACCCAACTATCCAAGTCTGGTTGTCGCCCGCATTTTCCAGGGGATCGCAGTAAGCCCGGTCGAGTGTCTGCCGTCCGCAACTATTGCAGAGATTTTCTTCTTGCATGAACGGGCATATCGCGTTGGAATCTACACGCTTCTTCTGCTAGGGGGCAAAAACCTCATTCCTTTGGTCAGTGCAGCTATCATTAGCAGCCTAGGATGGCGTTGGGTCTTCTGGGTCGTTGCCATTGTTGTCGGCGGCTGTCTTGTCCTTCTTTTCTTTTTTGTACCGGAAACATTCTGGGACCGCACCCCTCGACCTCATCGACCCCGCAAACGCCCCAGCATCTATCGTGGAATGTCAAACATCATGACTCATGGATTCCGAGGCCGGCACCCACATGCCCACCGTCTGGAAGATCCGTCGCCAGATGAGGAGCTGGCTCCTGCCCAACCAAAGAAGGCCAAGAAGGGACACGTTGGCTTTGTTGATGGAGCTGGTGAAGGCGATACCCACGATCTGGAGAAGGTACAGAATGAAGAGCAGGAAAATCAAATCACCCCCGCACTTGAAGTTTCTGCAAGCCAGCCAGGCCCAGAAGCAGCACATCCTGCTGATTATGAGAAAGATGACGGTTTCCTCACTCCACCTGTTCCGGGGGCAGTATCTCCCTCGGAGCTCGAGACGGGTCGGCGGTTTGAACTCTCTCCGGCTCGTAGTGAGTCTATGGACCCTGCTCCGCCAGCTACACCCGCAGCACAATACACCAACCGACTCCGTGAGCAGCCCAGGATTTCTTTCACGTACTACCTCCGGCCTTGGAATGGGCGCATTGCTCACGACAACTGGTTTCGTGTTGCCTTGCGACCGTTCATATTGTTTGCCTACCCCGCAGTGCTGTGGTCCGCCACTGTATACGCTCTTTCGGTGGGATGGCTCATCGTGATCTCCGAAGCAGTCGGCTCTATCTACGAAAAGCGAGATTCGTACAACTTCACGGCTTTGCAGGTTGGCCTGGTGTACATCTCGCCGTTCGTGGGTGGTCTCCTTGGAACTGCAGTAGCGGGCAAGGTTTCGGATATCATTGTGAAGTACATGACACGGCGTAATGGAGGCATATACGAGCCGGAGTTTCGTCTGGTCATGGCGCTTCCAATTGCTCTCGCCACAACCATTGGTCTCATGGGATTTGGATGGAGTGCCGAGGAGCGCGATATGTGGATTGTGCCGACCATATTCTTTGGTATTGTTTCTTTTGGATGCTGCCTTGGGAGTACGACATCCATTACCTTTTGTGTCGACAGCTACCGGCAGTATGCTGGTGAAGCTCTGGTGACACTCAATTGGAGCAAAAGTTCGTACTGCCCCCTTCCCCACGGCTGACCCCTGCGCTTCAACAAAACACCCAACTAACCGTTTCCCGCAGACGTGTTCCATGGACTCATATTCTCGCTCTTCATCGTGGACTGGTTGGATGCAGAAGGATCCCGGCTGGTGTTCATTGCATTGGGAGTGATTCAGCTGGGTTGCTTACTGGCCACCATCCCTATGTATATCTATGGGAAACGACTTCGCATGTGGACTGTGAGGAAACAATTGATGGAGAAATTCTAGAAAGATGCCTTCTTGGATGTGTACTGTACTATCCTTGGGAGGGGCGCTATTGCCGTTCATCTCTGATCCGTGATATCCTTCCGTTTCGCCGGACGGGAAAATGCCCATTGGACGGGGGAGACTGGGGCAAATCTTGTTTTCATCACTTGCCGATCGGCATTTGTACAGTACCTATACGGAGTAGAACACCGCCATATCACCTTGTTTATGATACGGTAGACATGCATTGAGCTAGGACGATTTTGACATTACTGAGATGTCATAGCTGACGGATCAGGGCCCATCAGATCGGGACGGCAGGGAAAGCCAAACCTGGGTATGGCCATCCGGTGTCTCACGGGCTCGTTCACCGATGGAGTGACTGATGTCAAATGCTCGGTGGGCCTCAACTGACCCGAGGGCGAAGGCCAGGCGCACAGCCTCCATGGCGACTGACAGAGACTTTTTCCGGATTTTGTGATTGGCAGAACATTACTAGACAACTGCCGTGGAGTTACTAATCGCCTGAGTTTTGCCAGTCCACCGCACTGCAGCTTCTAGACTGCTTAGTCACCCTCACCTGCCGTGGGCTTAATTATCTAACGCTCAGTGATCGGTCCGCAAGCAGATTCAGATTCATTCCAGAGTCAAATCCTAGTCGGCCGAAGGCAGCTGTAGCTGCAGGTGCAGCAACTATTTTGTCGATCATGACGCGGGATACGACGTCAGCGGTGAAGGCATGAAGAGGAAACTTGTATTTAGATGTACTCGAGTAGATGCATAGAGGTAAGCGTAAGCACAGGAAAACAATTCCATGCCCGCCTTGTCTAGCCTTGCCTTGCCTAGCCTGGAGCCTCCTTGATTGCCCCTCCTTCACCGGTTATATGTAAAAATTGCAGACGGAAAATGTTGATCCAAGACTCCAAGTGTTTACCCTAGCGAGGTCCTTCCCGTCCTCCAACCTTTGAAAGCCCACATGTCGACACCTTAGGCAGTAAGTGGCAGTCGAGCCCTGAAGGCGAAGGTCTCTCAATTGTGGATGGGAAGAAAAGAGCTGCCTTCACTGGTGGGTTCTCAGCCCGTCCCCAGTCCACCATCCATCCACCTTCAGTATGATCAGATCCCTCAAGAGGACTAGCGCAAATAAAACCTGGTTTGAAACCAAGTCCCCAAGAGCCCAAGCCCCCAGGGCTGCCGTCCCGGAAAGCGGAATGGGCGGAGCTATCGATGAAGAGTCACCCAATCACATCTTCAAACAGGGATTTCCGGCAGACGAAGGATGAAATCGCTGGCGATTTCAGTGGGGTTCGAGTCCACTGCAGTAGATACTTGAAGGCGAACAAAGTGACATGTTGGAGACGGATGCTGGTCACTTTTTGAAGAAGGGTGCTTGTGAGAGATCCAGTCATATGTGAATTGGTAACTCTTTGTATGATTCATTGGCCCGTGAAGTTAGGACGTGAAGTATCCGT